GAAATACCAGAATATGTCTTCATGCATAGGCGTGCCTTCCTGTAGCCCCATGGATGGAGCTATGCTCACCCGTTCCTTTGTGATATTACCCCTTTGCTCTGTTTGGGATAGAATGTTCCATGGAAACACCCTTTGTGTGTTCCTTTCTCTTACATGTGTGTGTGTGTGTATATATATATTATATATATAAACACAAACATATACATATACATATAATGCAAGCCATTTTACAGTTTTAACTTAAAACTATATAATAGTTCAAAATAAACCTTATTTTAATTGAAACAAATGAACTCCTCTATATGCCAAGTTGGCTCACAAGCATATAAAGAATGATTTCAAGTGATCTTAAAACATGGTATTTTGACCATATATCCCTAATGTGATATCTTTTTTCCCCAAGTACTAGAGATTGAACACAAGGGCACTCAACCACTAAGCTTCATCCTCAGTCCTTTCTATTTTTTGAGAAAGGGTCTTATTAAGTTGCCCAGATTAGCCCTGAACTTCCAATCTTCCTGCCTGAGCCTCCCAAGTAGTCGGGATTACAGGCATGTGCCACCAGGTCCAGCTTTAATGTGATATCTCACACACACACACACACACACACACACACAGTCCTAATACATTGAGTACTTCTATTTTTTTAATGATGTTATTGTATTTTTTATTCCTTTATTTATTTATTTATTTTATGTGGTACTGAGGATCAAACCTAGTGCCTCACACATGCTAGTGCTCTACCACTGAGCCACAACTGCAGCCCAGAGTACTTCTACTGATAGTTAGAATATTGGGTTATTGGGGCTGGGGATGTGGCTCAAGCGGTAGCTCGCTTGCCTGGCATACATGCGGCCCGGGTTCGATCCTCAGCACCACATACAAACAAAGATGTTGTGTCCGCTGAAAAACTAAAGAATAAATATTAAAAAAAAATCTCTCTCTCTCTCTCTATCTCTCTCTCTTTAAAAAAAATATTGGGTTATTTTATTTTTTGAAACCATTGAAAAACTAAATCATTAATAATGTTATTGTGATTAAAGAACTCAAATTCAGTATAAGAAATTTTAAAATGTTGAATTTTAAAAGTAAACTCAAAACACTGTTTTCCTTTGGGAGGTTAGAAATATCAGGATATTATCCTGATTTATTTCTCTCTCTCTTTCTTTTGCACTCTCTTTGTGTGTGGTGTGTATATCTGTGTTAACCCAGGGACACTTAACCACTGAACCACATCTCCAAGCCTTTTTGAGACATGGTTTCACTAAGTTGCTAAGGGCCTCACTAAACTGCTGAGGCTGACCTTAAATTTTCAACATTTCTGCCTCAGCCTCCCTAGTCCCTGGAATTACAGGAAAGCACCACCACATCCAGCTTATTTTTCTTCCTTCTTCTTTTTTATTTTTGGTGTGTAGGGGGGGTGGGTAATAGGGATTGAACCGAGGAGTGCTTAACTACTGAGCCACATCCCCACCCTTTTTTGTTTTTATTTTGAGACAGGGTCTCACTAAGTTGGTTAGGGCCTTGCTAAATTACTGAGGCTGGCTTTGAATTTGCAATCCTCCTGCCTCAGCCTCCCGAGCCACTGGGATTACAGACATGTACCACTGCCCTGGGTATTTTTCTCTTTCTTAAAAATTGCTCTTTTCTAATACAAAATACTGAAACGGGATTAAAGCAATGACAATTCAATAAACACAATTTTGCCCAGACAATAGACTCTCAACAGCATTTCTCACTAAATAAATCAGGGGTCCCTGAAGAAATGTCTAATCCAGGACAAAGATACACGAGAGAAGCCTGAAATATCTTTTTCTCTCTAAATGCAGAAGGATTACTGAGGTCTTTTCCACAGGACATAGGAGCTCACTTAGAAAGGCTCCAGATAGGAGGACATCTGAGCATCAAAAATAATGATGACTATAAAGATAAAGATGTGACATACAACAAATCTGTTTAAAAAGTAAATGTTAAGAATGGGATTAAAAAATGTAAAATGTATAAAAAGAATGTAAAATGTAAAAAGAATATAAAATGGTAAATCATTCAGAAAAGTTTAGCATTTTCTTAAAAAGTTAAATAATATAGCACCCAACAATTCCATTCCTAAGTATTTTCCGAAGAGAAATAACAGACATAACCACATAAAAACTGCTATACAAATGCTTACAGTCACATTATTCACAATAGCCAAAAAATAGAAATAAAATAACCATCAACAAGCAAAGACAGAAACAAGTTGTGGTGTGTGTTCACAGTGGATTGTGACTCAGTGCAATGGTCTAAATGTCCATGTCCCCTGGCTTCATCATACACTGAGACCTGATTCTTGAAGGTTCTAGGAGATGGAACCTTTGGAATGTGATCAGGACATGTGGTAAGGCCTTCATCGATGGGATTAGTTACTGTATAAAAGAGGACCAAGGGAGATCCCTTACCCCTTGGAATTATTCTTACAAAGAAAAAAAATGTTTTGATCAGGTAAAGCCTTAAAATGTAACTACCAGATTAAACAAGAAACATTTTCAATGATACATTGAGGATAATCAGCCAAAATACAAAATGAGGGATTAGAAAAATTATTTTCTATAAAGAATAAATGGAGGCTGGGGTTGTGGCTCAGAGGTACAGCACTTGTCTAGCATGTGCGAGGCTCTGAGTTCGATCCTCAACACCACATAAAAATAAGTAAAACAAAGCCATCTTGTCCAACTACAACTAAAAAACTATTTTTAAAAAAGAATAAATGGTACATCAAAAGACGTGTATGTGGGGCTGGGGTTGTGGCTCAGCAGTAGAGCGCCCGCCTAACTTGAGAGGCGCTGGGTTCGATCCTCAGCACCACATATAAATAAAGAAATAAAATAAAGATATTGTGTCCAAGTGTAAATAAAAAAATATTTTTAAAAAGAAAAGGGGTGTGTGTGTGTGTGTGTGTGTGTGTCAGGCTGCGGTTGTGGCTAAGTTGGTAGAGCGCTTGCCTAGCATGTGTGAGGTACTGGGTTCGATCCATATAAATAAATGAATAAAATAAAGGTCCATCAACATAATAAATGAATAAAATAAAGGTCCATCAACATCTAAAAAAAATTTTTTTTAAATATGTGTATATATAGCCAGGCACAGTGGTGCAGAGTCTTTGCAGATATAATCAAGTTAAGATGAATACTAGGGGCTGGGGCTATAGCTCAGCAGCAGAGCGCTTGCCTAGTACGTGTAAGGCACTGGGTTCCATCCTTAGCACCACATAAAAATAAACAAATAGGGACTGGGGTTGTGGCTCAGAGGTACAGCACTCGCCTGACATGCGTGAGACACTGCATTCAATCGTCAGCACACAGAAAAATAAAATAAAGATATTGTGTCTACCTATAACTAAAAAATAAATATTTAAATAAATAAACAAACAAAGGCACACTGTCCATCTACGACTACAAAAAAAATTTTTTAAAGATGAATACTAGATTAGGGCGGGTTATAACCCAATGATGGTTGTCCTCATAAGAAGCAGAAAACTTGGGACTGGGGTTGTGGCTCAGCGGTAGATCACTCGCCTAGCACATGCGAAGCTCTGAGTTCAATCCTTAGCACCACATAAAAATAAATAAACAAAATAAAGGTATTGTGTCCAACTACAACTAAGGGGGAAAAAAAAAAAAAAAGAAGAAGCAGAAAACTTGCCTTCAGGCACACACTTGTATTCCTAGCTACTCAGGAGGCTGAATCAAGAGGACCTCAACTTTGAGGCCAGCATAGGCAACTTAAGTGAGATCCTGTCTCAAAATTTAAAAAGGCGGGCTGGGGATGTGGCTCAAGCAGTAGCGTGCTCGCCTGGCATGTGCAGGGTGCTGGGTTCAATCTCAGCACCACATAAAAAATAAAATAAAGATGTTGTAACCACCGAAAACTAAAAAATAAATATTAAAAAACTCACTCTCTCTCTTTAAAAAAAAAAAAATTTAAAAAGGCTAGGAATGTAGCTCCATAGTTGAGTGCCCCTGGATTCAATACCCAGTAGTGGGAGAGAAAAACAAAAAGTGTGTATGTTAGGGCTAGGGGTGAGCCTTGGTGGTAGAATACTAGCTTAGCGTGCAGGAGGCCCTGGGTCCAATCCACAGCACTGAAAAAAAAAAGGGGGGGGGTGTTGGAGGGAGACAGTACATTAAAAGAATTTTTTAAAAGCATGTGACCCAAATGTAATGTAATGTGTGGATCTGTTTTGATCTACATTGTACTGTTAAAAAATGTATGTGTGGGGCTGACGCTGTGGCTCAGCGGTAGAGCGCTTGCCTAGCATGTGCAGGGCCCTGGGTTCAATCCTCAGCACCACATAAAAATAAATAAATAAAGGTATTGTGTCCAACTACAACTAAAAAAATAATTTTAAAAAAATGTATGTGTGTGCGGGGCGGGGGGGCGCGGGCGGTGTGGGTGTTCTGCAGTGCTGAGGATGAAACCTAGGGACCTAAGGACTTGCACGTGCTAGGTAAGCACTCTACCCATTTAGTCCTAAAAAAAAATAGAGATAATTTAGGAAAATTGATTATGAAATAGATATTAGGTGATATTAAAGAATTCTTGTTTATTCTACTAAATGTGAAAATAGTATTTTTTTGCCAATCTTTGTCTATTAAAGACATATGATATAGAATATTTACAGGTGGAATCACATGGTGTCAGAGATTTGTTTTCAAGTACTACAGTGCACACAAGCAAAGTGGCAGAAGAAAGATGAAAAAAGAATAGCAAAGTGTTGGTAACCGCTGA